TGTGTATTCTCTCTTCTTTTAAGATGGGAGTTTACTAAAACAACACCTTTAGAAAAGATAAAATTATGTGTAATAGAATATAAAACCTGATTCTCCTGGCAATTAATCATCTAGAGCAAGCCTATAGGCTGTTTCTGACAGATCCGAGGGTTTTGCTTGAATTGTTGGATGAGATGTGCCTGGGCTGGCTTACAAGAAAAGATTTTATGTTTAAAACCTTTGAAAGCATTTTAACATCTATTTACCTATACAGGTGTGTGTGTATGCGTGTGCACGTGTGCATGTATGCATAAATACTGATAAATCTCCAAACAAAGGGATGTCCATGTATGAACCTACAGCACTCATTTTACTGCTCAAAAATGTAGATATAAATAGAAATAAAATTTTTTTTACAAGCCAGGCAGTGGCATGATGTGTAAGGCAGCTGAATTCCACATGACCAACTGTGCAATCCAAGTTCTGGATTCAGTGGTTTGTGAAACATGCCAGGTGTGTGTGCGTGTGCACTCAAAATCCTAACAGGAGATGGAGGAGAAGAGATGGCAGTGTGGCCATTCCCCCAAGGGGTGCTTTCTCACTTTCCCTCTCTCTTTCTTTTTCTCTGTCTCTGGTGAACATTCATGCTCTATAACAAAATTTAAAAAACAAAACACCTTCCTTTCCAGCAACAGAGAACTATCTATCACTTAACGGAGATACTTCCTGTTTTTAAGCAGTTGGAAAGGCATGATTTCCAACCTAAACAGTTAACTTGGCAAGTCAGTACTGCGTTGAAGGATGCTTTTATAACCATTTTTCTTCCACCTTAAATTTCAATATACAAAGAGAGACTATTTGTTTTTTTCTCTCAAGTATTTTTTTTTTTTTTTTTTAAACAGGGAAGATAGGGCAGAGGGAAGAAGAAGGAAAGAGGACGAGAGAGAAAAGAAAAGGAAAGGTAGATATTATAACCATAACAGATGGACGACAGAGGTAAGCACAGCTCTAACAGCCATGGCAATTATAACCTCAAATGTTCTCTGAAGGCAAGGGTTGGTAATGATTTCTTTGTATTAAAAACAAAAACTAAATCTAAAAGGAACTCTAGTCAAATATTGCAAATCTATAAATAAAAGTTAGAATGTAATAATTAAAGTCTACCACATTCTGTAACAAAGCATTTAAAAAATCTTGGGACCAGCAGATGGCATGATGGTTACATTGCTGGACTCCCACATGGTTGACTATGGTTTGAGTTCCTTCCTAACTTGGCGTCTTGAAACTTACACCCTGCAGGTGAGCATGCGTGGCCAAAATCCTGAGAGGAGAATGGAGAAGAAGGGAATGCGGTATGGCCATACCCTTGGGGGGTGATGTCTTATTTTCTGTCTTTCTGGTGAGCGTATGCACCCTATAGCAAAAATCTCTCTCTTTAGAAACAAAAACATCATTCATGTGGGTCATGGAATTAGTATGCTTCGGGCATTAAAATTAATAGGACTGTGACTATATCTCATATAGGCGGTTCTGCTTTAATGATCTGAAATCAGAGATTAAATTTTGTTTTCAATTGCTGAATATTCCTCCTTGATATCAGATGTCTTCATTTGTTTTTGTTGTTATTGTAATAAGGAAGCTTTCCTTTAAGAATAGCAAAGGGCCTGCCTAGTTTCCATAATTTCAATGTGATGCTAAGATGGATATTTAGACTTGATACTGTGATTTTATATATTTTATCTAACTTTACATCAGATCTGTGACTCTTCTTACATAGAGCTTTTCCTCCTACTACCTGTTCTGCCATGGCAGAACACTGCACTGCAATCATTCCCCCCATAGGATCTTCAAGTCCTCCTCTATTTGCACTTTTCTATCAGATATTTTTACCAACTAAAGTCCCTTGTTCAATGAACTTCTTGTTCTATTTTAGCTACTGCCCACCATCCTTCTCTACTCATAGTTGAAATATTATTTAAACTCTAGCTGTCTCTAGTTTTTCCCTTGTCACTCTTCATTTGACTCCAATCTGTTCCTATCACTGCACTAAAATGACTCTGGTTAAGATCACCAATGAACTACAGGTCATTCCATTTTTTTTTTTTTTAAAAGAGAGATTTTTGCTATAAGGCACATGTGCTCACTGGAGACATGAAGAGAGACAGAGAAAGTGAGAAATCAGCCCCCCAGGGTGATGGTCATGCCACAATCCCTTCTCCTGGGATTCTGGGCACATGCGCACGCGTGCATGCACACACACACACACACACACACACACACACACATATGCCGGGTGTGAGTTTCAAGCCACTGCATCTGGGATTTGAAGTAAGATCACCCATGTGCGAGTCCAGTGCCTAAACTTTCATCAGGACTTGAAAAGCTGAACGACTCCTCTATTCTAAAACACATCTCTCTTTGCTCCTAACAGTCTACATTATACCTCTTATTACACTTAATATTCTCCCCTCCAGCTCCCGTGCTGACTGGTTCCTTTCCTTCTAACTAAATTTAAAGGCTGAAGTGCCTCAGAGCTTACAATTAAATTTTTTCTTTTTTCTCTTTGCTGTTTCATCCATTCCTTGACTTCAATTACCATCTACAAATAAATGATTCTCCAAATCTAGGTATCAGGCCCAAATTTCTCCTTGGAATTCCAGACCCATATGTCAAACTCCCCATGGAGCATGGCAAGTATATATATCAAAATAAACATGCCCTAATATAGTTCATAATTTCTTTCCAAACTTGTGATATTTCCAGGAATCCACTCTCAGGAAATGGTCTTTCTACCAACCCAGAACCCTAGGAACTGTGTATCTTTTTTTTCTCATTTCTCACATCCCGAACTACCAAATTTTATGAGTTCCAAGTAAATACTTGTACTTTATTCCATTCCCATTGCTTGAACATCCTCGTTTATTCTTGTACCCCTTTTTGCCACATCTCCTGAAGACTGTTAAACAGAACAATTTTTTAAAGAATTACTTGATTTTATTTATTATTATTTCAAAATTTGGAATAGGGCATTGTATGAGAGAGAGAGAAAGAAACAGAGAAACAGAAAGAGAAAGCAAGCTCCAGGTGTCTGGGACTTGAACCATAGTGCACCCATGCGGGAATCCAGTGTCTTAAGACTACCATGCCACCTGCTGGCTACTGATAAAAGTGATATTTTAAAGAATTACTTGATTTTATTTATTATTATTTCAAAATTTGGAATAGGGCATTGTATGAGAGAGAGAGAAAGAAACAGAGAAACAGAAAGAGAAAGCAAGCTCCAGGTGTCTGGGACTTGAACCATAGTGCACCCATGCGGGAATCCAGTGTCTTAAGACTACCATGCCACCTGCTGGCTACTGATAAAAGTAATTTTTAATATAAGTGAGCTGAATGTCAGGCACTCCCACCCATATCTTTAAAAACTTTTGTTCATTTTACATTCTCTTTAAAATATAGGACATACTGTGCTCTCCCAAACCTGTATGTCTTCTTAAATTGCCTTCTGTACCCCAGCCTCTTTTTTTTCTGGCTAACAATCTATTCACTTTTCAGGTTCGGTTTAATCAGTAACTCAAGGAAGCCTTTCCTAATTTCCCAGATTAAGTTAGAGTTCTTCCTCCTATACATTCCCATAGCACTTGTTATTTATTCATAGTGCTCAAATATCTATAATTATGTTTGTGAATATTTAAAATTATTTAGTAGAAGCATTATTTGCCAGATTCTGTACTAGTTTTTAATATATATTATCTCATTTAATCCTTAGAATAATCCTGAGTTGTAGCTTGAATTACCACAATTCTCTTCTTCTGACAGATCTCTGCTACAAGGATAGTAATTCTAGTTCTTCCACAAATCTAGGAAACAAATCATCATGTTTTCAGTTTTAGTTCAAGATTGACTACAGATTTTAAGAATGTTAGGGGGATAACCTGAAAGAGTACAATGCAAACAGAAAAAAATGTGGGTCCTTTTGGCCTTTATCTTGAATCATATTCTGTCTTTCTTTCTTTTCTTTTCTTTCTTTCTTTCTGAGAGGTTTTTGCTATAGGGCGCGTGCGCTTGCCAGACAGACAGAGAGAGACAGAGAGACAGAAAGCGAGAAATCGCCCCCCAGGGTGGATGGTCACGCCACAATCCCGTCTCCTCCATTCTCCTCTCGGGATCTTGGGCACGCAGGCACACATGCCCGGTGTGAGTTTTAAGCCACCAGGTCCCAGACACGAACCCTGGTCAACTATGTGGGAGTCCAGTGACATAGCCATTACGCTAACTGCTGGTTCCCTTGAAGCATATTTTCTTGACCCCAATTTCTCAGTTTATATCAACCTGATATTGTCCTACTCTGCCTTCTGCCCATTCCTTCCATCATGGTTCTGTGGTGAAAGAACAAACTAGAAAGACTAAGAATTGTTTTCTTATGAATTCTTTTCTCCAACAATCTGAAAAGCAGCAATAAAAATATCTATGAGCACATGGAAGAAAGGCATACGTGGTAGCTCAAACATCTCTAAAAGCTGAGGGCTTTACTTTGCTTAGTATGAATCCCTAACCTTAGTCATAGGAACTATAGTCAGTCGTGATCATGGGGAAAGTCTTCTGACAAAACTATAAAAAGAATCCTCTCTAAAAAATAAAAAATATATAGGGTTGTTGTCACTAAACATTATAAAACATAGAACAACTACATATGAGCACATTAATGCTTAACAACTTTTGGTGCCTGGAAAGAACATTTTTCTGAGCAAGGAGAAAAATGTATCTACCTAAATACTAAACCTATTCCGGAGTTTTAAAAAATTTTGAAATTTAGAATAACAGACACACAAGACAGTGTTATGTGTTAGAAAAAGCCATTCCGACAAAGTTCTGATTTAATTAGCTCTAAAGGACTGGAAAAAAGTCTGTTAGCTAAGAATAAATTGTATTTCCTACAAAAGGCAGGGCACAATTGAGTCTAGGAAAAAAAATAAAAACAAACAAAAAACAAAAAAAAGTAAGCAAAAGCTAGAGTTCACCTCTGATCCCAAGCCCTTCAGTTCTAAAACACGTGCGCACTCCAGTCTGATCATACATATGGCATCACCCATCACCTCCTGAAACTGACAATGAAAGGGTAAACTCTAGATTATACTATCCAAAAGAAACACACACACGCATTTTACATTTTTCTAGAAGTTACATTTTAAAAGCTTTGAAAAGGTAAAATTAATTTAATAATTTATTTTATCCAGTATATCAAAAATGTTACCATTTCAAAGCCAACATAAAAATATTTTAAAGTATTTTACATTCTTTTTGTAAAAGTCTGAAATAGGGTGTATATTTTTACACTTAAAACACATCTCAATTTGGACAAGTCACATTTCAAATACTCAATAGCTACATGTAGCCAGCGGTTACCAAACTGGATGGGCAGCTGGAGGCTGGAGGAGATAGTCACTGAAGAAACTAGCCAGAAATTCATACTAAATTGTTAGGATGCTATACAAATTCCCTTAGAAAGACACTAACCAGTCTCATCAATGTAAATTATACATCAAAGCTTCCTTCTCTTCCAAAGACTTTTGTTTTTCTTAACTGATTGTAGGATCAGTATTCTCATGTGGCTAAATAATTCATTTCCACTGAATCTTAATGTCTTCCTCGCACCTATTTGAAACACAATACTATGCCTACCTTAGCATTCAATGTAATCAATTTTGTTAAATTACAAAATTAGTGAACTTGTTAAAAAAGTTGATTATTAGCTGAGGAAGTATTCACCTCATTAATAACAACAAAACCAAAAGAATTGCTACTAAAAATAACTAGAAAATAGTATCTGTGACAACAGGGGCATGCTACAAGTAAAATTTTGAGTTTGTTGTTCAGTTACACGCTGAACTCAATATTAAGATTTCTATTAGAGGTATTGTTTGTGAAAGCAAAGAAACATTATAAATTATGTACACTTTAAAAATGTTACTTGTTAAGAAAAATATATAAGGCAAGTGCTACTGTTAGAAATATCTTAGACATAGGAGTAAAATTATATTTTAACTGACTGAAATAGACTTAAAAATTTTTCCTTAAGACTCAAGAATAGAAATATCACATGTTTGTTTTTCTGCATTTATGTTTACATATACTTAAATTATGGGTACAGATATTCACAAGAATTAAAATATAAAAATATGTAAATTAATTGCCCCATGTTTGCTATTTACTTGGCACACTAAGACCCAATTTGGGGGAAGGGTGATTAATCTTCTTTGGTCACAGATTTAAATATACTTGGGTGTACCTGTGGTCACAGCTAATTATTTCTTATTCTCTAGGCACAAAGACATTAAAATACAAATCAGCTCTCAATATTACTGTCTTTTTCAATTCCTATTGAATTGAAGTGGTTTCATGTATTAATGCTCAAACTTTGTAAACTGCTGAAGCAAAAAAATATTCCCATTCCCAAACTTCTGAGGTTCAAAGTCCCAGAAAATACAAGGCAGGCCGTGCATGTGTGTGTGTGTGTGTGTGTGTGTGTGTGTGTGTGTGTGTGTATGAGAGAGAGAGAGAGAGAGAGAAAGAGAGAGAGAGAATGAAACTATTCTTGAGCAAAACTTCCTGCATCAAAAGGCAAAATTAATTAATTAACCAAGCAAATAAACATT